AGAGGCATTAGGAATAGCTCACAGTGCACAAAGCTTTTCAGCTTTCCGCAGAAGCCATGGTGGATTTCAGAGACTACTGCTATAAACAGAGACCCTGATTCACAGAGCCAGCTGAGCAGTTTATCTCAGCCTTACTCCCTTCTGCATCAGTGGGGATGCAGAAGCAAGCAGGCCTCTGCTGGGAGATTCTAGGGCTTGCCCAGTGAGCTGTGCTAGCAATGACTTTCCTTCCTGCCTTTTTCTGGAACACAGGACTTGTGGAAGCTCTTAAAAACATTTGCATCTCTCCTTGGGTCACCTCAGTCAACCTTCTTTGGGGTCCCTGAAGTCACTGATGTAACCAGCAGTGCTTGAGACAAAGCATCCTAACAGGACAAAGATGCTCCAGTGACAATTTTCAATCTAAGAAACTTTTCTGTGATCTCTAAAGTGTAGGAAGAGACCTGAAATAGCAGAAAAATACTGATGGCTCAGTGCAGAAACTTACAGAAAGGTTTTTCACAGCTCTGCTATACATTTGGAAAATCCATTTATCTTCTTGTAGAATCTTCTGCCATGTTGTGCTGACTTTGGCAAAGCTGCAACAACAATACAAACATTAGTTGCCTCCTAGGAAAGGGATTTATTAAATAGCAAGAATAACTGTAATAATTTTCTTTTACGTAAAGACAATGTTCACAGTTGTTGCCTTTAATTTGCCTTTTTAGAGAAAAGACACATTCTCCATATGTATCATGGCTTACCTTGTCAGCTCATGTTTTAATATGTTAACACATAATACTAAACATTCAGTAAACGTCACAAAGCCCATATCTAAAACATTAAGGCATCCGATTAGTTTTTTTCCTTTCCCAGTGAAATGCAATGACATTGATATACTTACTTTACTAAATCCATCTCGCTGAGATGCCTTAAAATGTTTGCTAATATATGCTTCAGGTTCTTTTGGAAGAGTTCAGCAAGAATGTCTATTCTATCCAGCCCCATTTTCCTTCCAATTAAGTTACAAAGTTCAAATTTTCCCCTAGAAACAATTCTGTCTACAGCAGCCCAAGACTTGAGATTTCTTTTACCACTTTTTTTCAAAGTTGAACAAATCACTTCTTCATAATGGATTACTGGCAACAGTGTCTTCTTTGAAAACTGTTCTTGTATTTGGTTCTTCATGAGACAATGCTTTGGTGTACCACAGAGATTCCCAGCCAAAGGTAAGCTATCCTCATGTTCTATTGCATCAGCATAGTGAGTACTTAACATAGAGGAATAACCGCTGTCCTCATTAAGTTTACTACTTTCCATTGTCTCCATTTCACAGATACCTTCATCAAGTCTCTGAATTACTTGGTTGTTTTCTTTGTTATGTATGGGTCTTTCTCCATCTTCAAGATTGAGATTTCTGGTGGCTGCATGGTATGAGTCACTAAGGAGTGATTTCTGATGTTCTTCTGCACAGCTTTTACAAAAGCCTTCCTCATAATTCAAGGGGCAGGATTTTTCCAGTCTTGTTTTCTCCACAGCACATTTCAATGATGCAAACCCAGCACGAAGAGACGTGCATTCATAATCACGTTTCATTTTGCAAGAGCGGTTAAGGTTTGATTTCATTTTGTTGTTTGTATTCTGCAAGAAATAACAAGGACAGTATGAAAACACAGCATAAACTAGATCACAAATTCTTTTTTCTTATAAAGACCACCATGCTTTCCCCTTCTGCATTATTAGTTTTACGCTTTATCTGACTCACCCTCTAGTGTCTAAAATACAATTAGTGGAACATAGGATTTGAATAGCCAGTGTTTAAATCTATGTAAGATCTTCCCAAAAGCTAGTTTTATGCTGTGTATACCTAGGGCAAGAAAACTGCCTGGGTGATTTACTTGGTCACCATTTCACCAGCATAGATGGGACACATCAGTGCTTCCACTTCCTACCATAAAGGTAGCAACCTTTATAGTCAAGACACGGGAGATCCCTGCGAGGGACGCCAGTGGCACGGGGTCCGTGAGTGACCGCAGGCCTGTGCGGGCCAGAGAAGCCTGAGTTTGTGTCCAAGACCAGAGGCAATGCTGCTGCTGCAGCCAGATGTCTGGCATTTCTGAGAAGGGAGGAGGCTGGGTGCCACAGCAAAGGCTTGAGTGTTCACATGTGTGAGTAAAATACAAAGGAAAGCGGCCATCCTCAAACAATAGAGTGAAATAAAGGTTCAAGCAAGATTTAAAGAGGGTGGGAGGTCGATAGATATCATAGGAGAATTGAGCTTTTCTCGCTCTGTTCCATCCCCCTCCCCCGCGAAATGTGGTGCTATCTATATTAACAATTGCGGGGGGATGGGCGAGGGCTGAAGGGGAGAAGGAGGTCATGTCTCCCCAGTTAAATCTAAAGGGAAAATAAGTTTCTACATGCTTTGCAATCCATAGGAGGTAGAAGACCCCTGATTTGAGTAAGCATTTTAAAGGATTTTAGCAGTTACAGCAGTTTTGGAAAAAAGCACTAGAAAAATGTGTTCCATGAACGGCTTAGAGAAAAAGTTCCTGCTTTGTAACTATGTTTGGTGGGAGAAAGGAGCAAATAAGCTTATGGCTTTGTATGGTGCAATCGTGTGTTGGGGGACGAGATGCAAGCCCATCCTAAGCCTCCTTCTCCCCTTCCCTGCGAAATGGCAGAGAAGCTTTTGGGCTGAAATCCCGATGATTTGGAAAATGTCCCCAAATCGCGTTTCGGTGCACCAGGGCCTGCTACGACCCCCGGAGGAGCGGGCTCAGCCGCGGGGCCCCGCGGCGCTGTCAGGCTGCTCCCGCCCAGCGCTCAAGATGGCCCGGGTCGGTGCAGGTACACCGGGCTCCTCTCCCGTGCCCCAGGGCCCCGTGAACTTCACCCCGCGCCTTCGGGGGCCTCCCGTTTCCCCCGCAATGAAGGATTCCCCCTAAATCGGTGGTGGCGGGGCGGGCGGGAGCGCGCCGCGGGGATGCCCATCCGACGGCGTGGCCGGCGGGCGGGAGACAGCGCTGCGCTGCGCTCCCCGCCCGCCGCTGCCCGCCGGCGGGATCCGAGCTGCGATCCGCACCCCGGCCCGGCTCCGGCCCCGCCAGGGCGGCCAGCAGCCGCCGCCACCCCACACGCGGCTCGTTGGCGGGATCGTGGCGCTGCAATAAGCCGCCGTCCCGTTCCATCCCATCCAGTCCCGTCCCATCCCGCCGGCGGGATAGCTGCGGGGCTAGGCTAGAGCCTAGCCGGGATCGGGTGGCCGCCAGGAATCGCCGTCCCCAGTCCGTCCGGTCCCGCCGCAGCGCCGCCAGCACCCGCACGCTCCCGCCACCCCAGCCAAACAGCCTTAACCGAGGAACCCCGCTGTCCCCGAGCCGGCCCGGGAGCGGAGCCCCGGCCGTGAAGCCCCGGAGCGGCTCCCGGCGGAGCTCGCTGCCCGCCCCGCGCTCACCTGCAGGGCCGCGCCGGCGCCGCCGCGAGCAGTGAGTGCGTCCCGCTCGCGCCGGGCGGTTTTTAAAAACTTTAAATTTGGTATCCAAAACCGCGGCAGCCAATGGCGAGGCGCCGCAGCGCCGGCCGCGGCCAATGGGCGGCGGGCAGGCGGCGGGGGCCAATCCCGAGCGCGGCGGGCGGGGCCGCGCCCGTCCCTCGCTTTCCCTCCTCGGCAGCCAGGGAGGGACGCGAGTGGCGCGGCCGCGGCTCCCGCGCTGGCCGCTCCCGCCCGCCCCTTCCTCCCGCCCTCGCCTCCCGCACCGCTCTCGGCCCCGAAGGAACCGGCGGCCGCCGCCTCCCGGCACTGACACGCCTAAACGCAGCCTGGCGCCCAGCTGCATCTATGTCTGCTTCTTTAAATGGACGCGCCTGGGATCTTCCCATCACCCTCGCACGCTCCGATTGTGCGAAGCTCCTTTACCGGGGAAGGATTCTCTCCCGCACCGGAGATATCCAAAAGCAGCCCGGATGCAATCCTGTGCCACGTGCTCGAGGGTGACCAGGCTTAAGCAGGGATGGTGGACTGGATGACCCACTGTAGTCCCTTCCAGCCTGACCCATTCTGTGATTCAAGTCTGGCGGTGAATCTGGGCTCCTCTCCACAAAAGAACTATATTTATTTTACATGACCAATGGTAGCATATGACAATGACAATGTTGCAGAGTGAGCAGGAGCACTCCTGGGAGCTAGGCTGACTGGACACCAGATCCCTACCACGGCTGGAAAGGCAATCTGCTCATAGCTCAAGGAGGTTGCGTTTGCAGAGACAACATCCTTTGCACTAAAATTAATATAGAGAGAGCAGAGGACTTCAAGTCTTGACACAGTAAAGCTTGCCATGACAGGCCAAGGAGGACAGTGAAGTCCCCCTATGTACAGCACTGTCAGATGTCAGGTTTGGAATACCTCTGTCAGCCTCCTGCCAGACCTACAGGATGTCTAGTTTTTCTCACACTGATCAGAGCCTGGTCACTTGCAAGGCAACACCTCATTTCATGTTTGTTCAAGAGCCAGATGAGAATAGGGAGGCAGGATCTGGTCAGACAGACTGGAAAATCAGGGAAGGTCTAGAGTGACAAGGAGCTAAGCAATTACCTAAGTTTCATGCAGTAGTCCACTGCATAGACCTGGTCAATGACCCTTATTTGTTTGGAAAAATATGAAGCTGAACAGCAAATTCCATCTACCACTTGGCATAAGAAGGTCTTGCTTTAAGTCACATCAGTAGGACTGTCACAAGTGCTCTCTAGTGTTCCTTTTACAATACTGATCTGGCAAGAATGAATACTTCAGTCCTAGTTTCTGCTCCAATAGGTATCTAATTATTTTACACCAAAAAATGAGACAATGTTTCTTTTTACTTTTTTATGTGCCAGTTTGGTGCTGTAAAACTGCTAGTAAATACAGACCCAGGTTTCATGCTCACCAACAGGAAATATGTATGCCCCATCTTATGTACAGAGATATTCCTCCATCTGAAGTTAATGAATGCATCTTAAATTCAAAGACTTGGAACTTAATCATAGTTACCATGCAGTATTTACTAGGGAAAAAAAACCAAAACCAAAAACCCAAAACAAATAAAGATATTGAGTGTTTTAAAGTGCTTTTAAATAAACAGACAAAACCAGCCAAGTGCCAGTCACAGCACATAACTTTTAGAAGATCAATAACTTGGACAGTCAACTAAAACCATAAAGGAGAAACTGAAGTCAAGTGGATACTAAAATATCAGCTGAACAATATTGTAACAATTATTTCCATTTTTGACTCAAGAACAGAAACATTTGTTTGTCCACATGATTCAGAATCACTTGGCTTCCATGGCATTTTTTTTCTTGAAGAAGGGGTATTCTTAAGCTTGTTTAGTGTTTATAAATAAGGGCCAGAAGGCCTTGAAAACATGACAGAGACACACTTTGGCTCCCTTTCCCATGACACATATAAGTGATAAATAAATATGTGGATAGACAGAGTGGGGTCATTTATTTATCACATTTTCCAATCACTCAAATAAAATAATATTTTTTTTGTTCTCTCAAGCAAACTATTTCACACTGTTGTGTGATGGTTAAATCATAGTTTAAATGAAAACTGGAACTAGAAATAACTCCTTTTTAATACATGCATACCTTTTGAGAGTGGTGTATCAGTTCTCAGTAGAACTGCTGTTACTTCTGCTGCAGTCAAATTAACTTTTCAAAAGGACTACTGCAGCAATAATGTCTTATATAAGATAATAAAGTCTTTTACTCAGCAAGTAAGAAAACGTTTTCATATTCACGAGGAAACAAGTTGTGATGTTTTTCATGACCTGAAAAGACGTTCCATTCTCTGGGGGGTGCTCTGAGAAACTTCTTTGTAGACCAAGGTCTATATCGGTTGTAGTGGCCTGAGAAATAACAATGTTCAGGAGGAATGCTTTTTTTCATTTTCTGAAATAATTTCCATTAGAGATTCATAATCAGCATATTCTCTCAGAGTTTGTATCATTTCATCAAGCATTTCTTCCCCTAGCATGAAAGACTCAACATGATGCACTGATCTGCTTATTCTGTGGTCTGTAATCCGGTCCTGTGGAAAGTTGTATGTTCTGATCTTCTCTGATCTTCCTTTAGTCCCAATCTATGGAACAAGAAGAATCAATTTATCATCATCATCTTACAAAAATGATGAAATATCAATCAGGCATATAAACCAAAATGTTTCTCTTCCTCACATGACCATACAAAATTTGTTATAGTTCCATAGTACTCAGATCACTTCAAAAGCTGCAGTAATTGATCTCAAAAATGTAAAAGAACAATTTTACTGCAACTTTTTCTAATACTACTCTGGTTCTTCATGCTGCAATCCAGTTTGCTTCACTGGATCTCTAGGATTTACATACTACTGAAATTTTAAGTCTGGCTAATATATGACCTTTATTGCTGAAGTAAAATGTAGTAGTGTTGTTGTTTAGAGAGCTTGGGGACTCCACAGATTTTGTTCCCTAGAGTGGCCTAGTGGAAGGCATCCCTTCCCATGGTAGGAGGGTTGGAGATAGATTATTTTTAAGGCCCCTCCCAGCCCAAACCATTCTCTGACTTTTTTTTTGCCTCATGTAAGTCCTTCCTGGGCTTCTGTTGCTCTGTATTTCCATTTACTGCTTGCTGTTTAACAAAGATGTTACCCTAAAAATATATGCTTGTACAGAACTGTATCACAACTTACTTGAATCTTCCGAGCACTGTTTCTCTTTTTGTTTTCTTCTTCTAGTTTGGCATTGTATAGTTTAGCACACAGCATTTGCATAGCTTTCTCTTTGTTTCTAATTTGGGATCTTTCTTGCTGACATTCAGACACAATCCCTGTCAAAAATATCGTGACATTTAGCACTTAAGATTAACACATACTAAAAGAGCTCTGCAATTTCTGGAAGGTTTTTCATATGTTACATTAGGCTATTACATTTGGACTGGGAATGTGGAAGTCCAGGTTTATTTATGAGTAATGATACATTTTGGGAGGGAAGTGTAAGCTGAGTTGTACAGGTGTTTTAAGCCATAAGACAAAAAATTTAATTCAGTGGAAATTTATTTCACCTGGACAATAGATGAATAATGAAATAAAAGATAGGTGATGTAATCTGACTTATAAAAAACACCTTCATTACACATAAATTTTGGCCACAGTTACAGGAAACATAGGGTTTAAGGAACAGTAGAATCCTTAAGACAGTGACTGCTTTGAATATGATCAGGATATAAAACAGTGGGCACTATTTTATTTAAAAAAATAAAAAGGGTGTGCTTTCTCATCCCACAACAGACAATTAAAGCTAAGAAATGAAAAGCCAAAAATAGAAGCAGGGAGAAGAAACACAGTACGAGCTAAGTTGTTATTTGGATTTGTTAAGTAGCTCTGGTAATATTAGAGGATGATTTTATAAGATTACATAGTATTACTTTCTGAAATACTTATTTATAAACAACATTTTGGATCATGGTGAAGGTTTATAAAAAGATTTATGATGAGAGAAATAGAAGAAGTAACAGGACAATTTTAAGGATGAGACAAATGAAGAAGGGAAAGGTGAAACAAGAAAAAGTCAGAAGCTAATGTGAGGTATGAACTCCCCCGTGAAATGTGTGTAACTGCAAAAAATCTGCAATGCACTTTAAGATTTCTATTAGACACCCTAATAACTGCCATCAGCAAAAACTAAGATCAATTGCTGGTTTTAGTTTGTTGCTTTTTTATTCAAACATACAGGCAAGCCATACAGTGAACAGAATTTTAACCTCTCCACTGCTTGCCTTCTGCTTTACTAGGGTGATGAAACGAGTGCAGAATGGATTGATGTTTTAAACAGATACAAGGAATGGCTGGCAAAAATCAGGATACATGAAGATAAAGAGTGCTTAGGATTACCCTGAAACCCTGTAAAGCCTGACTAATGTTTGTGGTAGAGAAGAGGAAAAGTTAAAATGCAATGAAAGTCAAGAAGGCTGCTGTGAATTGCTCAAAGGGAAGTAAAAGGCTTAGGAATGGCAATAAAAAACCCCATACAACAGCTAAAATCAGGTAGTGTTTGAGGGTGTATTTATCCCTGCTGTGTTTCCTAACCTGAGCCAGAGGGATGGGCTTCTTAATTATGTGTGGCATCTATGGGAGAGGAGCCAGCAGACGAATGGGAGCTGGCATCCTAAGTAGACTCTGCAATTAAAAGTAATGTTTTAATATGGAAATAGCACAATCTCTCTTTTGGAGACTAGTCAAGAAAATTCAAATCATTAGATTTCAACCTACTCCATTTTTTGGTGTCATTTTCATTATTTGAAAGCTTACATGTGATTTTTTGATAGAAACTGATCTGAATGCTTTTAGAGTGCCATGTCTAATAGCAAAATAAATAACTTATCTACTGAAGCCAGTAGTCTCCACTGTTAAAAACTGGAGTGGGCACAAGATGATGCATTTAGAGTAGTATGAATAGACATGAAAACTACATAAAACCTCTGCTCTACTGTAGCCCAGGTTTGAAAATGAAACCATTGTTTCAAAAGAAATTCTGACAGCAGTTTTGGAACATAGACCTTGTACTAAGGAAAGAATGAAGCAGCACCTGTTGGAATGTGAACTATCCGTACAGCACTGTCTGTGGTATTGACATGCTGGCCTCCAGCTCCACTAGCTCGCTTTGTTTCTATCCGTAGATCTTTCGGACTAATTTGCAGCCTCATCTGTCATGGGAGACAGAAGAAGAGAAAAAGAAATATTTTGTGTTGTTTCTTTCTAGACAGATATCAAATACGCACAGTTAGTTTATGTTAGAAGACACATTCATGCAAATCAAACTTCTGAATTTATGGGTACTAGTTCAAATCCTCTTATAAACATATTAAGAAATCTTGGTACTCAGATTGGAATCCATCATGATGGAACCCCAGAAATCAGCCAAACAGTAACTTAATGCATAACCATTGCTTAGCATTTTCCTCTCTTCTGAGAGCTCTGCATCCTCTTCCAGCAGAGTTAACCAATATTTGAGCTTGATTAGATGGTTTTTAAATGACATGTCAGACATTGGCTTTGAAGTGAAGCAATAGTCTCCGTGAGGAAGGAGCAAGACAATTTTAAGAAAGTTCAGGAAGGAGTAAAATCTTTGACAATCTGCTAGGTAAACATGAAACTAAGATCAAAACAAAGCTTTCTTTGCTCATTGCTTTTAAGCAAGCAAATATAGCAAAACTGAATTATCATACACTTTAGAACAGGCAAGTGGAGACACTACAGAAATGGGAAAGAGGAAGTGCTAAAAGGAGTAATCCGTGAGCCTGGTAATATGATTCAGTCTTTTGTTAATTTGGAGAAAATGTAGTTTTCCACAAAACATGTGAGAGAGTCACAGTGAATTTTCAAGTCATAATCAAGTAAATTGTCAGTGACTTTATATGATAAAATACAGAAATTCTTTATTTCATCCCTGTGATAAAAACAAAATAACAAATATGGCCTAGTTTAAAATTAAGATTAAAAAATTATGTGAGAATATCAAGAGAGGCAGAAAACATTGGTATCAAACATTGCTTCTGGTAATGTCTGTTAGACTAAAAGATAAATATTACCTCAGTAGGTTGGGGCAATATGGCAACAGTCATTGTGCTGGTGTGAATGCGTCCTTGTTTTTCTGTCTTTGGTACCCGCTGAACACGATGCACTCCTCCTTCGTACTTCATGTATTTGTAAGCCTCAACACCTGCTATACTGGCTACTGCATGTCTTAGGCCACCTTAAATAAAGAAAAAGAGTTGTAAACCTTTAAGAATTGCTGGTACTATGCTGTTATTCTTCAAACAGTGTATTTACACACCACTGGCATTTGTTTCTTAAAATGACAAATTTACCACTTCAACACTTGGGCAAAATTATGCCAAAAATGCAAGAAAAATCTTAAAGCCATACATATTTACTCACACACTACCTCAAAAAGGCAAGGACTATCAAATTCTCTTTTCTAGAGTCCAATTTAATTTTTATATACATTTTTAATAAATTTTATATACACTTATATACATTTTTTCCTGGAGCAACCAGAACACAGGTTCCTGCACCTCTTACCAATACCTCCAGCAAAACACTTGACAGCAACATCCTACAAGCATTGAATAGCTCGGAACTTGGAAGTCAAGCCCATAGCAATCATGGCTTTGGGGCAGAGTTCCTTGCTCTACTAGTTTATGACATTCTTGATTTTCCTTGTTTGATGGTATGCAGTACAGGTGAAGGATTAGAGAAGTGTTTGCATTATAAATGAATATAACTTTTCACCCATTTTTGTTTTTAATACAGCTCAATTCCCAAATCCTATTCCCAGCACAGTGGGTGGTGTGCCAAGGGAATGACTGAAGAAGAGAAAGGCAGCCTTGAAAGAATATTGTTCTTCAGGCCTTGCAACAAGAAATCACAGCTGAAGAAAAGAAGAGGCACATACCTCTCAGAAATACTGATTTAGGCTATCTCTCAGACTAAGGAACTCAACCACAGGGACAAGACAACAGCTTTTTAAAAAAGGAAAATGAAAACAACATGGAATCTGAAAATGCCCTGCACAGCAGGAAAAAATCATCCACCAGAACACAGGCCAGGTTGTTCACCTCAATGGACATGTTCATTCACTCATAACTTTATTAAAATATATATTGTTTTACAGTCATGTTTGTGAAAAATAGGAGGAGGCAGTTTGGCTTTCTCTTTCACATAATTTTTATTCCTTCTGGTTTTAAAATTTGTAGTGATATGTGTGCTTACAGTGCTTAGAATAAGATGACCAAGAAACTAGTTCATATGAGAGGTATTTAGATCATACTGCTTCAAACTGACTATTACCAAAACAGGTTTATTATGAACTGCAGACAAATCTAATGAAATTTTGACAGCCCTCTTACCCTGGCAGACATGTTGTAGGCTTGTTATTAACACATAGTTAACTCTTGATAACTATGTGTTTCCTCCTTTCATATGAAATATTCCAATCTATCCTGATATCTGATTTACTCAGAACAAGGGTATGAGTTTGCACTCGCTTTTTATGTGGCATCTTAGATCAGGGAAAAGTCCCACATCTGTGTCTCTGCCTGCCCCTAGAGAGTGAGAAGAAGTGGGTAAATAAGGACATATGAGTTTGTGGTTCAACATGCTATTTCCGCACAGTGGCAGCCCATGAGCTAAGTCAATAAAGTCATTTAAGAGTGGACTGTAATCTGTATTTTATTGCAGCTTATTTAGCATTCACATTGCTCACACATGCTCACCTTCAGATTTCAAATTCAGGAGTTCTCTGAAATAAGGGAGCTTGACATTTTAACACAGAACCTTGCTTTTGCTCATGATCATGATCAATAAAAACGGAATATGGGTAGGATGTAACAGCCTAGTGTCACCAGCATCCTTAGCCCCACTCTTACTCAGCATAGCACAGATACTTTGAACCTGAGGGTTCAAACATCTCTTTCATTGGCCGTGCCATGTATAGCGCCTCTATTTATTTCCATTTTCAGAATGTTTTGATAAATATGTGGTTATGCAAAATAAAAAAAAAAAAAACAAAACTACAAAAGACTGACAAAAACTAGGACTACCTTTATTTTTCCCAAGACTTACATCCTAAATGTTAATTTCACTGCACAGACAAACCTTCAGCAAAACAGACTTTAAAATAAACATATAGCCATTAAAAAAGCCTAGCCCTTTCAAAGAGAAAATATGGATAGATAGATACTAGGTTAACATATTAACCTAGTTAGTTAGTTCAATTTCCCATTTAAGGCATTAATGAGAATATCTCTGAGGGTCTGGGCTCCTTGTCCAAGGACAGGGCTTTCACCAAAAGGGTAGCCAAGTCAACTCCCTTTTTCTTCTAATCATAGGACTGTAAACTGAGTCAGACCTGACTTACAACTATTCCATTACAGGACTTTCAACCAAATCAGTGGACTGATCCAATTACCACAGTGGCCTCAAAACTGCTAGAGCTGAGAAAGAAAAAACATACAGCTGCCTAGAAGGTGAGACAGGCCTCACTTAAGCTGACTGAAACTGTGCTCTGAAGGTGAAGTGTATGAGTGCTGGGCTTTACCCAATCCAAGTCATGCACCAATGGAAAGGGCAACTCTCCTCCCCCTAGCAGGTGAAAAAAAGAAGACCCAGACTCTTTCTCTTTTTTGTTTACATCCATCTAGCCTGTACAATGTTTATTCCATTTACTTTTTTAAAAAAAATAAAGTTAACAGATTTCTGTTGGCTTTGAAGGCTAAACTGGTTCAGCTCCTGGCAAAGCGTTTGCCCGGTCATGAATGGGGATGAACATGACTTTGCTCTTTCAGCAACAAAATGCACTGCAATATGAAATTTCTCATCCCTATCTCCACTTAAACTGTAAAAACAGTTTACTTGGCACATGAGCTCTTAACCATACAAGAAGTTTATTAATATTAACAAATATAAATAATAGAAAATAAGAAATTCAAGTGTCACAAAATTTTTTAAAAAGTATATTAATTGAATCATTAGCAGCCACTCTAGAGGGGAGTGAGCCACTCTAGAAGGGAGCCTGAGTTCATGTTCATCAACTTGAAATAAATACTTCCTAAGAACTCTAAAGAAAGTTATTCTAACAGTTTACAAATATAGCACTTTTTAAAGTCAAATTCTAATAAAGCTGTTAACAGCTGTTACAAATGAGCTATATCTAAATATCCCATTTCCTTATATTATAGATAAGATACTATTACACATTAATTTAAGATGTTTTAGATAAAACTTCAATAATTGTTTTAATAAAACTGATTTCTCCATGCCAATAGCTCCATAATAAAAACTAGATTTTTCAATCTTCCACCAACCTAATCTATAAACAATAAAACATTAGACAAGTAAGTAAAATAGTGTAGCAAAATAAACTTTACATAATCTTTATTAAAAAAAAAAAAGGTTAAACCAACATATCTGTATCACTTTCTAAATTTCCATCTGCTAAGCACTTGTCTTTCAATAGCTTTAAAATGTAGACATTAAATAACTAAAAGATAAATTTCCTTTGTAGCACTTCAGTATTTTAATAGTTTTTCTGAAATGGAGTTTCATGCCCAAATAGAGAAGCTGAGGAGAACTGTACTCAGACATTCAAATAATATTCCACTTCCAAAATTAAAATAGTCCAAATTAGCTTCCTTTACTTAGGAAATTAAAATGTTGTATGAATGAGTGTTTCAACTTGAATTGACAAGTTACAGTATTTTCATTACTGACCTATTTCACTGGGAAAGTATTCTAATACTTCAAATTTCCACTTTTTATAAGCAGCATATCGTTGATACATATCAAATATTTCCGAGGTGAACAGCATGGCTTCCTGCCCTCCAACTCCAGCAGTTACTTCCATGACAAGATCACTCTCATCTGCTTCTTCTGAAGGAATCAAAAGCAACACTATCTGTGAATACAAAAGCACCCAGCTAAGACTCCCCTCTTACACTGCTATACACTCCTGAGAGAGTGTAAAATGCCAGATAAGTCTGTAACTGATCTAGGCTGTGTTCTCCTGCCCTGAGGACAGGCTTCAGCCAGGGAAAGGTGTGTAAGGATGATGCTGCATTGCAGGAAGGCTTCCTGTGTCTGTTCACAGTCACAGGAGCTACACAGGACTCTCTTGAGAGCCACAAAATTTCACCAAAGTTTTTAATCCATCAGGAGCACTGTGAGGATACGTGAGGATATATGCCTGTTCTTGCAAGACAACTGAGTATCTCCCTTCTAATCAGATTCTCCTTTAATTCCATCTCAAGTGCAGAGCTAAGATGGTATGTTCAGGAGCAAAGTCCTCCAACAACAACACAAATGTATTATTTGCTTATTTATTTTAAAAAGAAGAGCCTGATGTGCAGAAGAAAGATATACCAAAACCAAAAAAATATCAAAATTTTGCATGCTGGATCAAAATTCTGGATGATTTGTAATTGCTTTTAAATCCTTGTCCTTTACTAGCATTAAGTGATGCTTCTTTCCACAGATGATGACTTTTTTTGGCAGAAACATAAATATTTATAAAAATATTTAAAAGTGACTGTTGTATTGTTGTTGGAGGAACAACGAATGTAACCATAGCAGCTTCTACAGTGTTATTAAGTTAAAACATTTTGTTCATGTGAAGATTATTTATTGTTAAATAACATAGATACTCTGTAAAATTTATATAAAGTAGCAGCCTAAAGTAGTTACATAGTATTAATTTTTTTTCAAAACCACTGATGATGGGTAACTTTAAGGTTTCCAAGGGCTACAGAGTTGGGACATATGTAAAGGTACACCCAGACAAGACAAACTATAGCATCTACTTTAAAAGATACTGTGATTGAAACATTTTCAGGTACAAACAGTCGCTTACTTACAGGATATCTTTATAGCACCTGATTTTTTCATTTTCCTTAGGTAACAGACACTTTTGGGACTATAACTAGCACAAAGGGGAGGAGAAGAACTTATCACACACATCTTGACAAGAATCATAGAATGATTTATGTTGGAAGGGGCTTTAAATATCACCTAGTTCCAACATCCCCAAGAAGACAGTTTGGCTTTATTAATTTAAGAATGCCAAGGAAACAGGGGCTTTATAAGGGGATCTAACCTGTTGTTTCAGTTCAGCTATCTCTTCCTCACAGGAAGCAATTTCTGTTTCTGCAAGCTTCCGGAAATCTTCATTCTCATCTGAAATATTTGAGTATGGTTAATCCTCAGACTTATATCAGTGCCATTCTGAGAAAACCTTCTCAGGTTTGGAAAAAATAACCACATGAAGAACTTGCTCTACCAATAAAAACCAAAAAAAACCCAGACAAAAACCAAATTACCACGCAACCCCTCCCTCCCACAAAATACTAAACCTGTCAGAAAATCAAATTACTAATATGGTCTGTAAAGAAGATTCTAAGTACAAATTGAGTGTTTTTTAATCCTCTGCAGGTATAGGACATGAGAAAAAACTAAAATAAAAGAATTTCCACTGAAACATCAAAAATCAAAATCCAAGCCAACTATAAAAGCCAACGATTACTGTGCCAGTGGTCAAACAGAAGCACAGGTTGCACAGATTGGTAGTGAATTTCCATCCTTGGAGATACTCAAAACCCAGCAGGGAGAAACCCTGAACAACTTGTGGGTCACCCTGCTTGAGCAGGAGGATGGACTATGTGATGTCAAAAGGTCCTTCCCGCACCAGCCATTCTGTGGCTCTAAAAAAAACTGTTTTCTGTATTTCAGTGTGGTAAGAACATAAAGGATTTAAAGAGCACAGCATCTTCAAAACTGGCACTCCTTGTTAAAAGGCCTAATACCCCTATCACTGTATGCAAAAATCTGAGTACTGTAGTACAGTTCTAGGGAATACTTAATCATCTAACACATGTTTACTAATCCTAAAGTACTCCTTTTCTAGATTTTAGTTTTCTAACTGCTATCAAAACGAAGTTTGGGTCTGGGTTAAAAAAAAAATAAAAATCCATTATTTGGCAGCACTGAAAGTGTGCAGCTACTGACACACAACTAAGTCAAATCACAGTGTGGAGACAGCAGATTCAGGTGCTGACTTCTATGAATGCCAAATACGGAGGCAGGCAGGCGGACTGGGCTGTCTTGGCAGCAAGGGAAAGATGGGTTAAAAAAAAAAACTCCACCAAAACTTCAAAATATCCTCGATCAGTTATCTTTGTTTTATATGAAACCGGTTCCTGTATCAGCAGCACTTCCCACGCCGGCGGAAGTACTTTCCCCACTCACTCGTACCCCCGACGTCTGCTCGGGCTGTTTCTTTGCCTCCGGCAGGCCCGAGGAGGCCGCCCCGGGCTCCCGCAGGTGACACGAGTGTCACCGGCACCGCCCGCCCGCTGACACGCGCGCGCCGCTCTCCCGCCCCAGCAGGTGCGCGCCGCCACGCGCCGGCCCCCGCCCCTCCCCCCCGGGGCCGCTCGCCCAATCGCGTCAGCGTACGCAAACGAACCGCCCTCCGCGCGCCCCCTCGGGCCGCTCCCCGGTGACGTGCGCGCGCAGCACAACCGCGGCCCGCGGCCCGGCCCGCACCTTGCGCCAGCTCCCGCGTGTCGCGCAGCTCCCGCTCCTTGTCGCGCAGCCGCCGCACGCGCGCCGCCAGCTGCGGCGCCGCCCCGCCCTCGCCCCGCGCGCGCGCCTCTAGCAGCCGGCGAAGGGAGGGCGCGGCGAACAGCTCCTCCAGGCCGGGCCGCGCGCTCAGCCCGCGCCGCGCCGGCAGCGGCCGTCCCACCGGCGCTGCTCGGAGGCTCCGAGGGGGCAGCGCGGCGGCCCGGTAGCCTTGCGCCGCGCGGAGGGCCCGCGACAGCAGCCGCATGTCTGGCTGGGGCCGGAGCACGGCCGCCCTCCTGTCGCCTGGGTGTCACTGCCGTGCCGGAGACGCCCGAACGCGCTTGGCAGCCTCCCTCCCCAGTTTCCGGAAGTTACCGAAGAGGCTCGGCGTTTTCCTTGGGCGCAGTCGGAAATCATCGGGGCTCCGGTGGCGGAAATTGCCGAAGGGGTTCGTCTTCCCTCGGCTCGCGCTGTCCCGCTGTGGAGCGGGCGGGCTCGGATTGGCCAGCACTGACGGGGCGGGGCTCCGCCTCATGGCCCCGGCCGAGCGCACCCAGCGCCCTCTGCAGGCCCAGGAGGTGGGGTGTAGTCATTGTGAACCGAAAAAAAAAAAAAAAAAAACAACCAAAAAAACCCCTCAAACACCACCAAATCCTCCGTACCCCGAAGCTTATAGCAGTAATTCTGAGCAAGAGCCTCGGGAGTACTGAGGTTTCTACCGGGGCGGTTTAAAGTCTGCATAGGTAAAAGTGAGGTTAGGGGGAAGTGTGAGCTGGAGCTTGGATATCCAGGTTACTCTTACAGACTTTCTGCCTCCAAAAGAAATCTTCAGGATTAAAGTACTCTGAGAAGGAACATGCAAATGTTGTGGAAGGATGGTCCCACACTGAAAGCAGGTGCAAAATTAAGTATTTAGAGGAAAATAAATGAATTGTCAGAGGAACAAAAAAGGGCAAGTCAAAGTTCCTTCGCATCAGAGATCAGTGGTGAGACTAGAAGACATCCCATTTACAAAATACAGATCTGAGTACAAAGTTTTACAGGCAAGTTTCAAGTGGGAAGGCAATGAGGATGTGATGCAGCTATTTAGGAACTGTGTGTTGTGGGATGATCTGGGCAAATCCCTCCTGAAATGCAGACGGAGTGCGTATTACCTTGTTTTAGATAACATCATTAATGAGATCCTTGGCTAAAGCCAGAACAGTTTCAAGAATATATTTTATTATACAAATGTGCAACTATCCATAAAACTTTATTAGGCAGTATTTTATATTACAATCATTGGAGGAGTCAGAGTTGTGTCCTTGCCTTCCTTCTGTCCTTGTTCTTGTCTTACCAGTACTAGGCAATCATATCTAACAACTAAATTACACTGTTGGAATTGCAGTTATGTCCTTATGAAACATTAGTAAATTGCTATTTTCACAAATCTAATATCAAAAGCAAGAGTAATTCTTGAAAACCTAAGTAGTTTTGGTAGTCAGAAAAGAAAGCTTGGAAGTTTTTGTTCCACAATGGAAATCCAACGGCCAGTGTGCGAATTTGCTATTCAAAATATCAAACATTAGTAGTAATGGTTAGATAAAAATGTTTTCCTATGATTTTAAGTGCGCAGCTTTGGATAAGATGTATTGGCAAAATACAGTGTAGCAATAATTTATAAGTAAAAGTCACACTTGAATATCTTTGTGGAGAATGTAGTCTGTGTGAGTTGTCTGGCACTGATAAAAACCCCAGGCCATCACTCATGAAATCTCACCCACCAAAAGCTTCCTTTGTACCCACTACTGCCTGCCCATGAAGCTCCTTGAAGTTTTCTTCCAGAAGCATAAAGGAAAAATGATCCAATTTATGCTTTAACAGACAAAATATTTTGATGTTCTGTAACAATGAATGAGAGTCTAACTGCTGTGTGAGCCCAGCTTGTGAAGAGACCTATGGAAAACTCAGGAAACTTAGAGTAAGGGTAAATTAAAGCTTTTGAGAAAAGGAAAAAAAAAAAGTAATCTGAGTTAATGACTGATGGTCAGCCTTTGAATCACCTGAATCATATCCCTGTTTTAAATGAGAAGGGTAGATTTCCACAGGGTTAGTTCATGGATAAAGGAAGGGGCAAAGTCAGGCTTTTGGTAAAAAGTTAAAATAATATGCAGACACTGTTTCTGTCAAGTCTTTGTCCAGCTGATTTTGGCACTATTATTGCTTTGTTCTTTCATGCCACCAACATCACTTGTACTGCTGGTAGAAGTTTTCAGGGCATATTTGAACAGGTCTAATGCTTTGTCATTGCAAATGTACTCAGCAAGTTGGTGAACAGGGACTTTTGTCGCTGTGTCCAAGTCCCAGGATGTGCTATGCTGCTACTCTTGGGTCTCTTAAAAAATAACAGCATTATAGGCTGAAAAAAACCCTATTTAGATGTTGGTAGTTGGACATGATTCAGATCAATTTGGAGGAGACGTTGCAGCTGTCTGCCTATGTGCAACTTTAATTTTTTCTTTGTTGGATTTGATAAGGGCTCAGGCTCTGTTGGCTGGGTCAACAATGCCAGGAGCAGGCTCACAGACATTGTGGAAATACAGACTTCTCGTGGTGTAGAGAGTTGCTGAACTTAGAGACTTCTTGTATAATCTTTGATTGCTTTAGAATTGGTGTTGTGGAATACTTCTGCTACATGGCTTTTGCAGCCACTTCCTGCCTATGCCAGTTGTGGGCTCCTGAGCGGGCTCACAGCATTGTCAGTCCAGCAAGCTGCTCTTACTGAAAAAGCCCCCTGCCTGATTTTAGGTATTGGCTCCACAGACATATGCTCCTTGTAATTGAGAGCTTACTGCCTAGGGAATCAAGTGTGGCATGAGATGACATCTTAAAACCTGGCTGTTGAAGCTAGAATGTAGGTCTCCTTTATTTGCTCAGTTTAGATCACTGCCCAGCAGCACTTCATTGTGCTTTTAATTTAAAAAATTGCTATTGCTAGCTGAAGTCTGGTTTATGTCCTGTTTTGTCTCTGGTTCTGTTGTCCTACAAATGGACTATATACTCCACAGGTATTCAAGTGAATTACAGACTGGCTGTGGACCTGGACATGCTATGACCACATTTCCATAGTACTATGCCATAGCTGTTTAACCTCCAGCCCAGCCACCTGTGCCACTAACCTGTCTTTTCTCCATCAAACCTCTAGTCTCCTTCATACCATACGTGCCTTCAGGCTAATCTGAATGCTCATAATACTGTCTGGGTGTTTTTGCTTCATCCTGGATATCCCAAACTAAGCTCAGTTATGCAAAAGCTGTCCGTAAACAGCTAAGTTGAACACATGTGTAACACAATGTAGTTTCAGTTTCTTTGCAGCCTGAAGGACAGGAGGGTACAGAAGTGCTCTGCTTATTTTTGGCTCTTTGGCATTAGGTTCTACTTGACAGGAATTTAAAACACTGGGTAAAAGTGACAAAAACATAACTCTCTGTAGTGCACTTGCTATATACATTCTCATGAAAAACTAAAATACAGGTTAAATACATACTTATTTTATTCCAAGCTATAGAATAAGTGTATTTAGGCAGTTTTTCAAAGTGTATTGTACACTGCATGCACAATAAATCAGGTTAATAGCTTGACTTTTTTACAATCTGTGTTCAAAGAACTGTATGATAGGCAATGAGATCATGTTACTTATTGTCCATTTGGACCACATCCGTTTTTGTCATAAAAAAATTTGGGAAACCCAAACCGATAAACGAAATGTATATTAAATGTCTTAATATGAGCATTTGCTCCAAGAAAGAAACTTTACACGCTATGTTCAATTTTTAAATCCCTCCTAATAGAGGATTTTAGACAATAAATTTAGAACGTGATTTCATTGCAGTATTACACTGAAGATTGGTGTAATAGTTTTAAAAATGATGTCACAGTTTCCAAATACAGATTTTGGAATCTTATGCTAGAAATCAAGGTAATAGTTTAGGGCCTGCACATCTAGCTTTAAAACTGTCTTGAAAGGATGACTTGTCAGTGTTGACAAGAACTTCTACCTGTGTGAAATATCTTATAAAGATAGCTTATGACTAGCAGGTCACCATCAAATAGTAACATTAAGAATATTCAAGTCTACATTTGTCAAGACTTATGCATGCAGTTTTGTCTCTTACACATTGCTTAGATGTGTGCACTAAATGTGTTGTGCCTCAAACACCAACAACTTGAAATTACACTATGTAAATATATACATATATGATGCTGTATATGTTTAGTACCAAGTAGATATAACTAGTCAAATGATACTAGACATATGTAGGACCATAGTTAAATTCCAATTAAGAAAAAAGCAAGAAAAATTTTTTTTTTCCTAACAGCATTTCACAGTAGAAGGAGGCAGTCCTTTCTCACTGAATTTTCCCCCTTCAGGATTTGTAAACATCATAGCTCGTATTCTATCAGTATAATAATTGAATATTTTATTCATAATGGTAAGTAGCTAACCAACATGAATAAAGTTGTCATAACACGGTAGCACTTTCAGACAAAACAGGTATTTATTAAAAGAAACATTTATAAATATTTTGTCTTGCATTTTAAACTACATTTTCATAAATAACAATATTTAAAAGTGCTGAATATGGTAGGATAGTCAGCAATGCCACTGTAAACAGATTTTTTTTTCCACTTTGCAGATTTTTGTTTTAGATCCCATTTTGTCAAACACTACAACAGTTAAAATATTTGCATAGGGAATAGAGAATAGCCCTTTTAATCATCTCCTGAATTCTATATAAATTACAAAACCAAATGAGTTTAAGAAACAGTTTGTTAAATTGTTCATATATATATATATCCAAAAAAAGCACACAGGTTTCAAGTAAAAAGAATGACTAAAAAATTCCCCAAACCTGCTATCTGAAGCATGTTCAATAAATTAAGAAAATGAGAGGTAGTAAAAGAAAGGGAAAAAAATAAGCCCCAGAAGATAAACTAAGACCTGCATCCTCCCAGTTACGGTGTCACAGCAGACCTGCCTCGGCAGCAGCAGCTCCCACCAAAGCCGGCACCGGAGGCTGCCCGCAGGAAGTAACTGAGGGGTTGGAGCCAACTGTGTTCAGGCCAGATTCCACTCAAGGACGCAACTGCCAGACCTTCCAGGCCAATCGAAAGCAATGGGCTTGTGCCATGTTTAGTCCTACGGAAGTGAGAAGAACCTTGCCTCCTAAGTCTTAGTATGGTTGTCAGTATTAAATATATATATATACACACACACTCACATATATATATATATTTAACAAGTATTTAGAGCAATTTCTTGGTATATCTTTAGCAGTTTATGAGGGATGCTAACACTCATTTTGCTTGTATATGATCGGTATGAAGATGGGTTTTTTTTAAGTTCCAAGTCACTGTCTCTTTAAACATCAAAATGTGTCCTGAAACTGGACATTCTTTGATAAAAAGGCCAAGCAAACACCTATTAAAAACACTATGGCAGCCTAGTGATGGGAGTACTGTGCTGCCTTAGCTCAGATTAAGGGCTCAGTACAGGAATCTTTACCCAGGAAAGATACCCATTGTGTTTCTGTAGGCATTTTGCTTGGGTAAGATCTGCAGGTTTAGAAGCCCTTGAAGTTTGGTTTAATATTACTCTCCAAACCCCTTGTTTTCAAGGAGTTGTTCAAAGTCAATGAGGCTAGAAGCTAAGTCTTCTTTAACCCACCACCTTGTAAAACATTACTTCATTTAAAAACATTTTTTACCAGATTTAGCTTTCAAAAAAAAATATCTTACAGAACAGATGCAGTTCATCAAAATGTTCTAAAATGCTCTAAAATGCTACATGTAGGCAATCTTTTATTAAATTTCTTTATTCAAAAAACTAAATTATCAAGCCTTTTGTGTTGTTTCTTATTTTTTTTTCTTTTTTTCTCTGAAGTACATAACATTATACAACAGTGTTAGAACTGGATAGCCAGTCTTTAATAAATCAATTACAGTATCTGACATCTGAAATGTACATTGAAAATCTTTGTTTTTTTTAACAATTAAACAATATCAGCGCATAGATTGTGTCACCCAGAAATGGATCCCTTTAAGTGATTTGTGCTTTTTTTTTCTTCTTTTATTTTTCTTTTTCTTTGACATTGCAAACTCTGTAATGAAAATGCCACAGTTTTGGCAGTGAACAACCAGAGGAACCCTCCGCTCGATTTATTTTAAATAAACAGTGATAAATAGCTCCTTTTCTCTGTACAGAAATATTGGCTTCAAAAAGTCACTGTATTGTACTCAGTAGAGCATGTAGAGTAATGCTACACCTTAAAAATTGGCTTTTTAGTTAGTGATGTTAAAAAATGCAAGCCTCTTTCTGGTTTGCTGCAATTGTTTCTATGTACCATAGGACTGTATTGCACAAAAGAAAGTTTTTAAATACAGATATAATTTATGTTACTGGATTAAATATTGCAACAACTAAGTGATAAGTGAAGCAGTTTTACCTTGCACATGCAGTGTGAGGATACACAAGGAGACTGTTCATAAAACTACAAATACATCATTGCAATCTTGACTGCAATAGGGTGAAAGGAGTGTGAAACAAATGTATTTTGGCAAATCCATTTATCTCCTCCCATGCCATCTTGAGCAAGGAGGACCTTGGTAAAAATGTAGACAGAGATCATAATATGTATTTTTTTCTTCACAGTAGCCTGAGTAGTGCTAAACTGTAGTTCTCCAGGAACCCAGCTCCAGATGTTATTAAACTACTTTTCTTCCATCCCACCCACCCAAAGAAAAAACAAAACAAAAAACAAGTTATTTTATGTGAAAATTAAGTTTCAGAAGTAGAGCCTGTAATACTTTCAACAAGAGACTTATAAATCTGAGAGTTCAAAAACCTTGGAAAAGAGTCTCTGTGCATCAAGGTGTATATCTGGAGCTGGGCATCTTCATACATGTGAGGGCTGGGGTCCAACAAGTTTCTGTTGATCACTTCTCTCACACGGGAATCAAGACTAACCTGAAGAAGATGAGCACAGAATAATAAAACAACAACATTGGAAAAGCTGTAATATGTATCTATTTCTCAGGGCTGCATTGAACATATTGCGTTTATCAGTTATGCAAGTAATGCTCTGTGCTTCTTTCAGAACCATTACATAATTACTGTGTAATGCACTGAGTCCATCAACTCTATTTCAGTTTTGACTTGGTTGTTGTACCCATCTTAAGATCTGTACAGTGAAATGCAGTCATATAGCAGATTAAATGCAGTGCAACTGCACTTTTCCAAAATATATTGTTTTACCTTAAAAAATAATTTGCATATATTTAAAATTATTTCTCTGAAATGAATGGTGAATTGCCCCTATTCAGACAACTGTAGGTTTTTTTCCTGAGCATTTGTGGTTAAACTTTTTGAAGATTTTTATTCATCATTCTTATCTGGCTGCCCTAGAGATTTTTTTTCCTGTTTTTTTGTTTTCACGTACTATACTTGTTCTTTACAAATTACCCAGGGACTTTTTATATTTTTTATTGTGTTAATCTCCCCATTAATATTAACTATTTCAGATTTGTTCTTCTTGTCATGACTCTTTATTATCTGGTAATTCAGGAGATCATATATCCATATTGAAGTTGTTAGCAAGTTTCAGTTTTAGCTTCTCATTTACTCACCATTTGTGATGAACTCCTGTGCCTAGGCAGAAAAGGACAGAATTACAGAATTCACAGAATCACTAAGTTGGAAGAGACCTTCAAGATCATCAAGTCCAATCCAGCCCTAACAACTAAACCATGGCAGCGAGTGCCACATCCAATCTTTTTATAACACATCCAGGGATGGTGACCCCTCCACCTCGCCAGGCAGACAATCCCAGTACTTTACCACTATTTCTATAAAATACTGTTTCCTAATATCCAACCTGTATTTCCCTTGTCACAGCTTGAGGCTGTGTCCTCTCGTTCTGTCAGCTGCTGCCTGGAGAAAGAGACCAACCCTCACCTGCCTACAGCCACCTTTCAGGGAGTTGTAGAGAGTGATGAGGTCACTCTGAGTCTCCTTTTCTCCAGGCTAAACAACCCCAGCTCCCTCAGCCGTTCCTCACAGGGTTTGTGTTCCAGGCCCCTCACCAGCCTCGTTGCCTCCTCTGGACGTGCTCAAGGGTCTCAACGTCCTTCCCAAACTGAGGGGCCAGAACTGGACACAGCACTCCAGGTGTGGCCTCACCAGTGCTGAGTGCAGGGGGAGAATGACCTCCCTGCTCCTGCTGGCCACACCATTCCTGACACAGGCCAGGGGCCATTGGCCTTCTTGGCCCCTAGGGCACACTGCTGGCTCGTGTTCAGCTGCTGTCACCAGCACCCCCAGGTCCTTTTCTGCCTGGGCACTGTCCAGCCACACCATCCCCAGCCTGTAGTGCTGCAGGGGGTTATTGTCGCCAAAATGCAGGACTTGGCACTTGGACCTATTAAACTTCATCCTATCAGACTTTCCCCATCCAACCATTCTGGGTCTCTCTGCAGAGCCCTCCCACCTTCCAACAGATCAACACACACTCCCAACTTAGTGTTGTCCATAAATTTACAAATGAAAGACTCATTACCTTCACCCATGCCATCAGTAAAAATATTGAACAGGACTGGCCCCAGCACAGACTCCTGAGGGACACCAGTGGTGACTGGTCAGACATATTATACTTGGGATAAATGCCCAGATGCTTTTAGAATATCCTTTAGAAATTTGAGTGAATGTACAGTTTATCCACAAAATGCTCTAAAACCTAATAAATTAATACGTTCTGTATTAAATGAAATGGCAGTAGCAGTGAAGCCCACTGAGACCAGCAAGGGTTTACTCAGCTAAGAAGAAAAGGGCTAAAATCCTGAGAAGATAAATGCCAAGAAGAGATCAGTTTAGATTTACACCAAGTTGCAATCTGACCCTACTGCTCTGCAACCATACAAAGATATTAATACTTTCTGAAGGATTGACTTCAACCCTCAAAAGCTCCATGTATTAAGATACCTTGATACATGAAGGATGCTAACCAGGATGAAAACTCAGAATATGTTGGGATGTGTGAGCCTGTGCTTTCATACATGGTGAAGAGAAGTCTTTGAAATATGCTGGTGTGATATGGTATAGTATGGTACAGTACTGAGAAGTAAATAGATACTTTCATTCTATCTTCAGTACCAGCTGCAGAATTTGGCATTGTTGGTTTGTTGGAATATTGGAGTATGCTACTGACAGAGCAGACAAGCGCTTTCTCATCCAGTATTTGCTGTCACTTGGTTATCAGCCACAAGGCACAACAATGAGAGACCAGTGGTGCTGCTCAGCCAATGAGTGTGGGCAGGAGTACAGTGCTATGGTAGTTTTGAGTGGCTGTGTTGCAGTCATGTGCCTTCAGAATGTGTTTGAATAGATTTCAAGCTCAGACCTTTGCATTTCTACAGCTCAGAAAGGACACAGTAAGATTGAAACAATTCTCCCCCTGACATGAGGGCACAGACATTTATATCAACAAAAACAGTTTGTGCAGCTAATTGGTTCTTCAATATCAAACATAATAGCCAGGATAAAAAACCCCTCAAATTTGGCAGGATAGTGGAGTTTTGAGCCACTGAGCATAATAAAAGTTAATTGCACTTAGAGAATGCAAAAAACAAAATTAATTATGGAACTGTTAATTTGCATTGTATTTTTTAAGTGACTCACTAAAGCCAGATGGCAAAACTAGTTGGAATTACTAAAGGTATTTTCTTGCTAAACAGATGAATACAAAGTATCTGTTTAGAACACTAAGACCTTCTGTTTCAAAAATTTCTTTACTGAACAAGTCATGCTAAATATTTCAGTTCTTATGCCAAAAGGTAACATCTGGAAAAGGGATGCCTGGATGAACAAGAATTTTTCAGTTCCCATGCTGTTCCAATGCATTGCAAAGAGTTCTTGTTTGCCTCCTAAGATTTCCAGTATGGGCAGGAGCAAATGGATTGTTGAGATCTGTATACATCCAGTGCACCAGGTTTGTGAATAGCTTTGTTAAACTCTAAGTCAAACAATGCTTAGTTAGTGTTTCAATTTTAAATGCTGATTGGTCTTAGCTTATAAAGGCAATTGAGCATTCATCACATACCTATCTGGTAAAAATACTGTATTAGAAGAAAAACTTATTATTAGCTTGCTGTATTGGCAATTTTATTTCACTCCAAAGAAAAAGTAGATACTATGGCACAAGAGAAGATAATGGAGCTATAAATCACTTTTGGCTTCATTCATATGAATGAAGTTGCAAATTATTTCTGTGAAGAAGCGAAAAGTAGGAAGCAAGGTCCATAGTGAGCATAAATTAGCATAACTCCATTGAGTAGAAATTCAAATGCAATGCACTAAGACAGGGCAGAGAAGATAAGGTACATCATGTGGCCTAAGAAAAGCTCTTCTATAGTGCTTATATCTCTTTGTATTATAAAATACGGTTTGATAGAGATGCTTTTTCTTTACTACAGGTGAAGATAATTTCAAAATTTGTCTATTTCAGTTAAAAGGTTGAATAAAATCTTATAAAATTCCCTAGATATTATACATTTCATTAGATAAAGTATGTCACTTCATTCTGGGACTCTCACATAGGAATAACCAGCGGAAATTCAGATTTGCTCCGTAACAATTGTTGTAGCAGACAAATCTATAAAGATTCTGATTTAAATTCCTTAATTTTGGTGCTTTTTCTCCAGAAATCCATTTACATTACTTACTTCCTCTCTCTGTCAGACTTTTAGCACTACTAAGGAAGCAAACCTATTTCTCACCTTCTCTTACTGGAGTTTCTTGAGTCTTATAGAGATCTTGGATGTGTTGTGGCTGGTAATGCTAAACATCCCAGTGTCTGTGTCTTCTACTGTTCCTGTCCCTTCCTTTCCTGATTTAATGTTCATACTAAGACTTATATCTGACAGACTTTCAGACTCTCACCTGGCAGTTCAGTGTATAATATTTCTGCTCTGAGATAACAGAAAATCCAAGTGTAACATTTACAGCTTTACCTCTTTCGGTGATAGTATAGAAATGTAATCTTCGTATATAAGTCTTGCTTTTTCTTCAATAGCTTTCTTGTTCTGTTCCTTCTTTAGATCTTCACATGCAAGCCAGAAGAGCAGGTTCTCCTCACTATACTCCGTTCTAAGAAACTCTCTGAAAAGGTTCCTCCCAGCTGGTGTTTTCATCATCTTGTCAAAATTCTGAGCCCAAGACAAAATTTCATCTGCAGTAGGGTTTTGGCTGCAAAAGCAAATATCATTACAAATATGCTTCTATTTTTGTAACAGTGTTTTCATACATTCATCCAAAAATTCTCCTTTCAACTGCACTTTAGTCCAAAGTAAAAACTGGAAGCAACAAGGCTTCTGCAGTAACAGGGGAATTTAGTTTGCTCTTCACTTGTGCATTAATTTTCCCAATAGCCCACTAAATGTGTTTAATTTTATGAGACATACACTTGACTTTTTACGAGTTTTCTGCTGTGTGTTCTTAGCCATGTGGCTCAAAGACAAAAATCTCACAACAGTGCTGAATTCCTGCCTCTGCAGTTAAAGGAGATTGCAGGAAGCTGGAAATAGACTCTTGTGAGGAGTTTAGATGACACCTGATGTCCCTGCCTGCCTCTGATGGTGACAGTACACAATTTGGTTTAGGAAGAACAAGAAAAACAAAAAGCTCTTGGCAGCCAAAAGCATACTAATGAAGCCAAACAAAGTAGTAATTCAGAGAGATTTCAAATTAGCATATTTCTCTGTGCTTGTACCTAAGGGATGCTAAGCTTCCCTTTGTTTCATGCTATTGACCTGAATTATGATCTTTTGGCATGAGATGTGATGGATTTTGCTGGCAAAACTGGAAAGAGAAGAAATGGGGAAAAATCCTTCTTTCCATTTCCTGAAGGAAACTATTTGTGGCTTTTACCAGTGGATGCACTGGGTAAGTGATCAGAAGACTTACTGGCGTCACTAATCCATTAATGTACCAATGAATAGCCTAAGAAAGTAATTTTCCAGATTACTTAACAACAATTAAATATAGTTTCAAACTTAATTTTGAGCACTCACTCTCTCCTTCTTGATCCAACACAAGGCCCTTACTAGCTGTTGTCATTAGCATCATTACCATGATGCACAATAAGTGACATTTGTCTATATAATTTCTGTTCAAGTCAATTTATCAACTCCTACTCTGCGTGCAAGGAAGACTGGATGATAGAAAGCTATTTGTGATAAATCACAAATTGTTTAACTGCAAAGTAATTGTAGACTGAATGAAAAAGTTTAAACACAGATTTTAGGGTGAACAGTCCTCTCAGGACTTTGCACTCTCTGTTGAGGAGAGGGAAAAGAGCCTGTTGAGGTGGATGGGGCTGACAAATAACCTGGGCTCCCTTACAGTCTGTTGGGAAGCTCTCTTCACTATCATATTTTGTAGAAATTTATGATAGTGTTCTCTCATAAAAGACAATGATTAGCAGTAAAGGCAATGAATTTTTTGGGGTTGTTTTTACCATCATATATGTCCTTTAAAGTTTTAATTTCCTTTTTATGGGATTAGAGAATGCAGGGTCCCTGACAGATTACCATTTTTTCCCCGCACACTAAACAGGGGCCCAAGATTTAGATAGAAGGAAAAGCTCAGACTTTCAGTGTGTTTAACCCAGTTCTCAAGATATGTGTTCTTTTGGTTAATTCCAGTGAAACCATACTTCAAGCTGTTTTATGAAAGGTTGCCATGTTAAAAATCTTGTCATGAAGTACACTTGTAACTATTATTTTTTCTTGTCTGGATAGACAGGAAAAATGCTCTCATGGGTAGCAGAGGCTTCTTATAGAGACCCACATATCAAACCATCCATGCACCTTCTATTTCTCCCCGTGGTTCTTCTCCACAAATAAGAAACTGCAAATAAGCCTAACATGTGAATTTCTTTGCTGTCATTTCATTGTCAGAAGAGATTTTACTTCCTCCTGTATATAATTTTTTGGAGGAAAAGCAATTAAAAGGACAATCCCAAAGAATTAAATCCAAGACAGTTCTCAATATTAAAGACAAAACACTTATTAGATAACAGTTTGACCAACTTACCATTCTTCTATGACCTGGATACTCTCCAGTTTGGTTGTATGCGTTGGCCTTCCTGCATTGTCTCCTCTATCTTCATTCCTAACAGTGAGGCTGCAATGTAGTACAACACTTTATTTTGTCTAGAGAAAGTTAATTTAAAACTATGACTATAGTTATCCAAACTTTTAAAGGATATAGACCTATATAGGGTATTATTTTTCACTCTTGTGTCTAAAATTTGGAGAAAAAATTTTATAATGACTTTTCCCCTGAACTATGATGAATATTAATTTACAGTTGCTATTAGCACATGCAGTTTTTTAGAAGCTCACAGTTTATCCACTGAAAGATGGGCAAATACTTAGAAGTCACTTTTGGAGTGATTTTACTTAGTTAACTGAGAATACTAGCAACAGTATGAGTAGGAGGGATATGAGTATCTGAAATGGATATTGACGGGGCTTTGATGCCCCACTGGTTCTGGATAATTTTTCAGTCTTTATGAATGTTCCCTTTTCTCTCTGCAAGATACAGTGGCAGTAGATGGCTCAGATACAGAAATTAGCATGTGGCAGCTCCTTATGATTTCCTCTTCTGACCTAAATTTGTTCTCCATTCCAAAAGCTAAAACATACTGGCATCTGAGTAGAAAGGCATCCATTGCTCTTATATTACCACAAGCAAGGAAATGAAAGATTTCCTTTATGCAAAGATGTTTTTAATGGGTTTTTTTGCTTATTTTTTTAACCACTAGTGAGAATAACTTATTTTTCTGCAAATATCTTTTTAATCAGATTTGCTGTAGTGGTAAAGACTTCCTCTGTGTGTGTTTTGTGTGAATCTTGTGGAACATGGGATTGCCAACAAACACACAATTCCCGATAACTACTGAAATAAAAAGTGTTTCGAGTGGCATAGATATTCATATGGAAAACCTGGTTCTGATAATTAAGCTTAAGAAGTGGAATGTAGTAAGGAGATGGAAATTTCCTTTCATCAGGTGTTCCTGATGTGTCTGGTTGAGAGAAAACAAGCAACCAAGCAAAAAATCCCCCCTCCAATCTCAAGAGCTCATATTTTGAATATTAAGTATTCGCCATATTGTGATGCTCTCAGTCACTCTAAGTGTTGCTACAAAAATATGTTTGTAGATTAAAGCTTCTTCCTCCCCCACTAATCTAAATAACTTCTGCTCAGCTCTAAGAAGAAATCCCATCTCTGAGACATCTTTAGCACAACTAATCTTTCTTTATAGTTTCTCTGCATTTATGACTTTCTCCAACATTTTTTTCAAGCATTTGGCAGAGCTAATAGGTATTCTCAAATACTCTTCTGAAAACTGGAAGTTTAAGCTCCCAGGTAAAACAGAGCACATACTAAGACTTAAACATTACAAAGACGTACACTTGCAAACGAAGCTCTTTGATACTGGTTGCTCCTCCACTTACCTGCCAAGACCTTAGTTCAGGCCCTTGGTCCTGCTTCCCCTGTTACAGCGTAGGAATGCAGCTCCAGTGCTGCTAAGGTTGTTAGGGTGTCATCAACTGCTGCAGGAGAAACAACACATCCTGAACTCTGGGATTGGCAGGTAAAAAGCCTTTCCATCTCCTCTGACCTGTTGTTTGTTAATTTACAGAGGGAGCACCCAGGAAAGACAGAAAGGAGTTCCATATACAGGAGGAGAAAAAAAAGGGACCATCCACTTTCCTTCTGTCTTGTAGTCTTTAAGTCCACACATGTAACTGCTTAGGGTCACCTTGCATCTGGCCAGAGCACAAAGTTGGAGTGAGGGAGAAGCAGGGAAGACACAAAGCTCTCTCTCCCTCCCTCCTTCTTTCCCTCCTTTGTAGTCCATAGGTAGAGCAGCATTTGTCTTCTCTGCTGGGTGCAGAGAACAGTGTCCTTTGGTTCCACAGAAGAGTAACACCATGGAAAGAGGAAACAGCTTGTGTAGGTTGCAAGTGCAATAGGGTGTGCATTTGAGTTTGTCTAAAAGAGAACAAAGCTGCCTGTTTTCCTTCCTTCATCACATGAACAGCAACTAAGCTCTACTGAGGTCATGTACTTGTCAGGTACTAGACATTGAAGGTTTGGATGCAGAGTCTTACTGGAAGTAGAAAGTGACTCATCCGAGAGCAGTCAGTATACACTGCTAATTTAATCTGTTGTCTGGGATCAAATAGTGTTTGCTTTGCTCATGCAATATATCTGCTAGACTAGTATGCTAAAAGACCCTGCTAGACTAATATGATGGGTTGATGAAGGGGAAAGAATGGAATGGTGAATAAGAGAAATAGGAACAGAAGCAAGAAGGCCACTAACTTCATTGTAATGTTATTTTATCAAGGGAATAACTAATAGACAGTATGCACTTTTATTTTCTTTAAAAAACCCCAAAACAGCAAAACAAACAACAAAAAGTTCAGACTGTGGGCCTGAAAAATAGTATGCAGTTTTCTGGTATCTATACCATAGTGACAATGCAAGGTACACTCTTGGCCCTGATTCCTTCATCTCACCATTCATAACTGGAGTTTAATGGCTGAAATTAGTCAGAGGACACTCCAAAGACAGAGGTGTCACACTGGGTTGGAACACATTTGGGTATTACATTTAAAACTGTGATACTTTTGTAATGCATCTTGGCCTAAATTCTGCATTATGTTTCCTGTGACCAAATACCACTACATTTCAACTTTTATTTATCTACATCTATCAAGGCTAGAGTTCCATCAGATATGTTACTTTTCATATATTTTTCCTGTGAATGAAACCATCATTTTTATACTGAAGTACATTCAATTCAGGCATGTTCTGTTTTCACTCAAGGAACTGGTTCATGATCTCTTAGAAAAATAATTAAATAATCAAGCATTTTTGACTGCAAAGCTAGTTTTAAAGCAGCCTTTAAGTAACTGATCACAATAACATATTGCTACCTTTTAATTTGAAATAACAACACTGCACTGCTCTTTCCTATGTTGCTATATTCAGCTGAAAACACCCTGGCTGTTCATGTTTCTCTGGGGAATTCAAGCAGTGTGCAGCAGCAAAGGTGTTCTGCATACCTGGAGCTGATGTCCTTGATACATTAATCCATCATTGAAGCTACCTGATTGTGTCAGAAGGATTATGCTGTACAGTCCAATACTTAACAGACTAAAACTAACAGGCTAAAGAGTAATAAAATTATCTTAGTTAGGGCTTTAAGAAAAGGAAATTGCTGATACACCTTATCAAAAAGTAGTTAAATGAAAGGGAGGTGCACTAGAGACATCTGATGCGAACTAACATCTTTGGTGCTATTATTATTTATTAGTTGGAATATACCCAGCAGATTACCCATGACAAAAGCACAACAGAACTCCTAGTGCCTTAAAAACGGAGAGTTTGGGATGTCTAAAGGCAGAGTTTAAATGGAAAGCACCAGTATGAGTTTCTTCTCTGTTCATATGGAAAGTTTGTTCTGCCCACTTCTATGCTGATTTTATTGCTCTGGAGAGTACAGTAAAAAATACTTCAGTGGCTTGAACTCAATGTACCTTTCAAATATATCTTAGGTTCCTGACTGCTACAAAACCAATACGTTTCTTGAACTACTGCAACAGTATAATTATGAGTAATTTCTTCTTGGAGTGAAGGTATTTCTCTTTTGCAACTTCCCACGCTTTATAAGTAAAAAATGTAATGATCAGGGACTACTTGAAGAGATGTAAATATTGAACAAATGACCACAAATAAAGGTGAGTGTGTCCAGGTTTCTAGCTGATGTGTTTTTGGAGGTACTGCTGGGATTTAAAGAACTTATCTTTATTTATTTAGCTGCTATTATTTGGCTGTTAATATTCAAGTTAAGCAATTAAGTAATTGTTCTGTTAAGTAATTACGTAGCTAAATCAGTAGTGAAGTACCCTGTTGCATGAGAAGATAAAAAATCCAAGCTAATTGTACAGAATCATCAAGGGTTGAACTAATTTAAGAGCAAGTACCTCACTGATTCTTCCTTCACGTGTTTCCAGCTGATGGTTTTAGCCTTTTTGTAAATAGCATCCCTACTGCTGCACTTACCTTCTACTGCCATGAAGAAATGGAAGGTAATTTAGAGTGTGCACCTGATCTTTCATTCTCTGTATATCCAGTAAACAAATGGTATTTAATTGGTTCCCAAGAGTCATGTTCTCATGTACCAGTCACCTAAATCTGGTGAATCAGTGAAATTACTCTTTTCACTATGGCAAGAAAACCATGCTATTGTGAGAGGTGCCAAGATTAATATTCTGCCCATATATGGCTGACACCAGGTACTATTCATTCAGGCATTTTCTCTGTTATGTGCCTCATATGCAGTATATCATCACAGTATTTTGTGATGATGTCTGGCACTGAAGATAATGTGACTATTAAAACCTCTTGCCTTAATGGTGTTTTTTGAACTGCCATGGAGATGAGTAGAAATCAAAGTGGGACACTGTGAACTAGTTTCATAGGATATTTGATTGGCCATTTAGGAGATCTGTGCTCAGTTTCTACTTTTTGGCTGAAATTTGTAGTCTTCTGGGCAGTGACTGCATTTTAGGCTGGACCTGTTTATGTCACACAGTTGGGCCATGAGCCCTCAAGCCACAAATGTAACAAAAAAAAATCTTTATTCTAGGCCAAAGGTCACATTAAGTCAATTGTTCATACATAATCTGAAGGTAGAATTTTTTTTTTTTTTCACATGAAAATCAATATTCAGATTCTCTGGATAACAGATGTTCTGACAGTTTTCCTTCACTTTGATTGACCCTTTGAAAGAATATATCTCACTGGCACTGCACTTCACCCTATCCTACTCCCAGAAATTTTTATTGTCATCAGATCAAGACACATAATATTTTTTAGCTTTCTTAAAAACCTACCGCAACTCTCTCCCCACAAAAGACCTCAAGAGATCAAGATTTATTAATTTAAAATTACAGTGGTAGATGATGTAAAATTACTATTCCCCGAAAGTCTTGAAAAACACAATTTACCAAATTTACAAAACAGATTCAGATTCAGATCAGGAAGTATCTTTTCTCTTCTGACTGGAAGAGGAAAAGTCTTTAAGCCACTTACTAGACATGAAA